AAGCAATTTTGCTTAAGATTTGAAATCTGGCTTTAGTCTTTTGCAAAGAATTATGGATAGGAATGGGGCAATGAAAAAAGGACTAAAACCAAGCAAAGAAGCAAAAACGTTTTGTATTTTTTTAGGTGTGGCAAAGAATTATGTGTGCAATTATTTTTCAACATAAATATATCTTACCCCTGTTGATGTGTACTACTGAAATACAATGAATGGGCATAGTTTGCTGACAATATAATTGCAAGCAACAGAATAACCGAGCTCCTAGAATGAGCAGAGATAATAGTAGGTATGAGAGAGATATAGAAAGATCCACTGCGGTTCTGAACTTAAAGGCTCATAATGCAATTGGAGTGAAGGAGTGGATTCATCAAGATCATAAATGGCATCTGTTGACATCCTGGAAAAGAGATTTTTCTGTGCATTCTGTGAAGTAGCCTTTTTTCAGAAGCATTGGTTCTGGGATTTTAAAAAAATAGTAACTTCATCTTGAACCCCTTGGGTGAGCTAGAGTGAAGACAAGACAGAGTCCCTTTCCTTGGAGTACATGGTATCCAAGCCTCTGAGTGGGTGGCATTCACCCTGGTGGGTGTAGATAAGCTGGTGTCGGACTCCCGAGGAAAGCTGCCTGTTTCACATGGGTTAGTGAGGGCATGGTGATTATTCCCAGAGCTCACCCAAGCAAATTGATGAGTCCAAGGTGAGCAGAACCAGTGCACTGGCATTTGCCACAGATTCAGATTAAAGCAGGATTAATTAGTTCCTCTTAGTCAGTTACTGCCTCGAGTAGGCGAGCTGAGGAAGAAGTGTTAAGTGTACACTGAATGCGAACTACCTTCTGTTTTCAGCTGAAGGTGCAAAGCAAAGAGCAGGGAATATAAACAGACAGTGAATATAAAATTGGAGTTCGGTGGAGAAAGGAGTTCTGTGAGCAATTCCGCGTCTTCCTCTGAATCGTACCCAGAATAACACTGACTCTTATTTGTGTAGATTGTTCAGAATGTAGACTTTTATTGTCAGATAAAATACAAATACCTGCAGTCGGAGGCATTCATTCTGTGAGTTTCCAGGATGGGGTTTGAGACTATCACCATAGTTTCGAAGCTAATACTATAATTACTTTCTTACCACTCTACTAGCTAATATTGACAATGAACCATACTGTTATCTAGCATAACTTGGTCGAGACCCTGGTAACAAAAGAATCCATAACCATGTGTGGCAGTCTGTCCAAATGAGAGGCTGGGGACCTAGGAAGAGAACATCATTTTAAGGACGGACACGGTACAGTTAATGTGCGCAAGACACACCCAGCCAAAGAGAAGGCAGTCTCTTGGTGTTAATAGCCTAGCTTTTTTTCTAGTGTAGCTGCTCACAAAGTAATTTAAAGATGAGGCATGCTACAAAATAATATTGATGTGTGTTAGGAATAAACTCTGAATAAATAAATGCCGACCTGGAGCTACAGTCTTTTGTTGGTGGGGAAATAATAAACTATTTATGATTTTCCTTATGATGCTTCATTGACATATGGTGGTTCTAAACCAGTGACAAATTAATTGACTTGGTTTAAAAAGAAACGGAGGTGGCTTAATGAAGAAGGACAGGGTATGTATTAGGAGGCAGCTGGTTCTGCCACTGCCGGCTTATGGAGACAATATACATCGGACAGCAAATGAGTCTCTGTTGCATAAGATAAATTCTCCTTATAATAGAACTGCATGCTTTGTCTCTAAATGGGGTTATTATACACACCATTGCACAATGTTTGAAGAGCTTCGTTGGCCCTTATAGAGGGTTAGGAGAGAAATAAATTGGAAAACAATCGTACTTAAGACCTTCAATCCATCAAACACTCCGCATTTATCTAAATTACTAGCACATTCTTCCAAAATACAAATCTGGATGATACACACAGCTAGAATGTTAATGCTGACCAGCCTCCACGTCTGTTTTATCAGGTTTTCCATCGTAAGCACAGACTAAAACGATGCACGTTGGAGCCTGGCAGTGTATCTCAACCACTACCCTCCCCTTCCCTTTCCCTCCGCTCTTCATACATCCACTGTCTTAGTCCCTGAAGTTTCACTCGGTATTCTTTCCACCCACCGTGAACACACAGGCATCACTTGTGCTGGGTTATTTAACTCTCAGAACTTTTTTGACTTGAACACTCAGGCAGGCTTAATGCTAATTTACTTGGTCTCTTCGCTTTTCTGCACACTTGTGGGTCCTTACTGTTCAGTCTCTTAGTTATCCTTTAGCATAAATCCATTTCATTTCCTTACAGCCTCTAAAAAACCCCAGGAAGTAATAGAAGACGACAGGATAAGTGGTACCATTGTTCACTCCATCTATGAAGATCACACGTCCTAGGAGAGGACATGGGCAAGACTCATTCGGATGGTGTAGGTCAGGGGAGGTGGGAGCTGAGTCATGCTCTTCCTGCTAAAGCCCTCTGACCTGGCTTTGAAGCTGGCTCTCTCCCTCTAGGATATTATCATGTAGCGTTTAGGAATTTTGTAGCTCATAATAATGATGTAGATTGATCTAGATTGCTTTAGGATTATAACATGTTTTCAAGTCCCAGAGGTGGGGTTACTTGGGAAAAGGGACCCTCGAGTATCTCATGATGAGGTTTTGACTTGTCAAGGGACTTTGAACACACCGTTCATTCCTGTTAAGCTTGGGATTCTCACCTGTGAGGTGAGGTTACAGTATTTGCTTCTTCCAGCCTTTCTTCTGTATTTCTTTCCTCCCTCCCTCCCAGAACAATAGAAAAGAATTACTCTTGTGAAACATTTGAAGGTTCTTGAGTAAGAGGGTCTTTTTTACGATATCATTCTATCCCAAACCAGATTACTTCCTCCTCCTTCTCATTGTGGGGGTTCTTTACTTTTCAAATCCACCTGTGTTCTGGTCTAGAGAAAGGTGAGCTGAAAGAAATGGACAAAACAGTCTCCTGGGCTTCTCCACATATCTATTACCCTTTCGGATGGAATCTTGAAGCCGTGGCAAAAGTGTTATTTTCCCGACAGAGCAGGCATGAAGTGGCAAAGATTGTACTGAAAGGTGTGACGGGGTGCGGTACAGCAAAGGGAAGTCACCACTTTGTAATTCAATCTGTTGATGTTTTCTTCTTCTGTGTGGGCTTTTGGATTTCCTTGTAATTTCTGGAATTCTTTCCTTCTTTTTAAAATCCTCACCTGGCGATATGCTTCTCATTGATTTGAGAGAGTGAGGGAGAGGGCGATAGAGAAACATTGATCTGTTGCTTCCCATACACGTCCCGACTAGGGATCAACTCACAACCTGGGTATGTGCCCTGACTGGGAACAGTGCACAGAATGATATTCTAATCAACTGAGTCACACTGGCCAGGGCTGGAATTATTTCTTAAACGGTGGGTATTGTGTTGCTAAGTGTGTTTCTCCAGAAGCTTATTCCATCCAGCTAATTTTTAGGTTGCATACATTCTTTTGAAAATAGAACCACATTATTTATAATAAAGTTTCTGTAATTTAGTCAGGGAAAAGAAAAAAAAATGAAGACAAATGGTTACCGTGACTAGTTAATGAATTTTCTTTTGCCTGTTTTTTAAAAGGACTTTTATGTTCTTCGGCAAAAACAGATTATTTGATGACAATGCTAAGAATACTTAACTCTAGGTAAAAAATCGTTTCCATTTGACTGCATATTTCATTTAATGAGAGGGCTTTTATTTATATTTTGTTCTTTTAACATGGAAGTCCTTTCTTTTAAGGCTACAAATTTGCATATCCTAGTTTTCCCGGAATGTTTTTTTAATTTTATTTGCTCAAACCATTTCCAGATCTTTTTCTACCCATGTCATATTTCTTAAAAGACTCATTTTCTTTACTTTCTATTTTTGATTTGTTCTTCACCCTCTGTGACTTTTGCTCCAAAAATGCGGAGTAAGGTCAGTGGTGCTGTCCTAATAGCCCACCCCAAGGCCATTTCAGTCCCTCTCCTATTTCTTCTCTTTACCCCATTTGATGTCACTGACCACTCATCATGCCTCCCTTTTTAAACATCTGGGAACAGTCAATTAATCTCCTTTATTTTCTTTCTCTGCATCTGTCTTACTTTCTACTGCATACAATACTGTCTCTTCTCTAGCCTCTCTGTCTCCAGTACCATCACCTTCCAGCCCCTACATGTCCCTGTTAGAGACTTTGGTGCCGTCTTGGCTCTTTCTTTCCTCACTTCTTTGTAACATACCCCACTGATTCTACCTCAGAAATGTCATCACATCTACCTACCTTCCATCCTCACTGGTTGCCTTGGGTCCAGCGTTTCTTCATCCAGCTTGTACTGGTGCCCTGAGCAGTCTCCTCATTTTGTTCTCTGCTTTGCTGCTGGAGTTATTCCCCTGAAGACAAACCCAGGCATGGCCCATCCTTGGCTTCCATTTGTGTAAAGGATGTGGTCCCAACTACATCCGGTGTGACACACAGAGTCCAGTCCTAGCCAGTGAGCCTAGCCTGTTCTCTCTGCTTCTCCCTCCTCCTGCCCTGTGCACTTGCTCATCTGGATTTACCTCTGTCCTCTTATTAAACCTTGGCCTTCAGAGCTCTCCTTTTCTCTCTCTCTGGTTGGGGGACACTCCTACTCATTCTTCAAGGGACAATTTAAGTGCCCAGCTCCTGCAACCGGAAGTAGCCACTCCCGGCCTTTACATAACACTTTGTCCAGCTCTTCCATCACTGCCCTTGTCTCAGTCCTGTGATCATAAGTTTAGGTAGAAAGGGACTCTCTTTTCCTTAGCTGCCGTATTATTTGTAGCCAAATGCTGGGCACATCCTAGCCCTTTGATCAGGGTTGGCTCAGTGCATGATTGAATGAATCTGTGGGTGCATGTGATCAGCATGGAGCTGAGACGTAGCTTAGGATGGTCCCGAACCATCCTGACCGTGCTGCAGAGGCACTTTCCTTATCTTGCTGGGGCTGTTAATCTCCACGGTGGTTATGCTTTCCATCAGGAAAAGGAGAAACTGTATGTGGAACTAAAGCACATCCTGGCCCGGCAGCCCGGGCCCGAGGCCGCAGAGCAGCTGCAGATCTACCGCCAGACGCTGCAACAGAAGACCAAGCAGCTTAAAGTGAGTAACCTCTGCTCTTTCCTGGCCAAACTCTGGGGAACGCACCTGATCAAGTCTGCTGCCTCAGCTCCAGGAGCTGGTTTCCCAAATGCCCTACTCCACCGAGGTCAGCCCTTTTAGCACCTTACTCCCAGGAGGAGCAGGGCAGGCCTCAGAGCTACCCCTCTGCTCCTAGACTGATAGACCCCACAATTCTCCATCTCCCAAAAGAGGGGAGTGAGCAAGTGGGGAGAGAGTCAGGGAGAAGATGATGGCAATGGGATGGAAATTGGGGGTTAGGGTTTGTATGGATGATCTCAAGATGGTTTAGGGGATCTGGATGGTGGGGGAAGAACAAAGGAAACGTTAACACCATTGCCCATTGAAGGACATTGCTGTGACAATGCAGATTTTTGCTCTTTCATTCCACCTGAAAGAAACACACACAAAGTACCAGCTCCTCCCCAGCCCTTGGGGCCTTGCTTCATGACCTTCTTTCTATCAAACAAATTGCCATGAACGGGAAATAAAACCCTGAGGAATCCTCTTAGTATAAATTCCTTTCTAAATGACCTAAGAACTCAATGGAAGAGATAATAATGTTTTACCATTACACATGCCTTTTTTAAAGTTTTCTAGAAAACGATGCTTTCCCATTATATTTTGAGCTTTTTCTTCTAAGTGAGTACTTTGATATTCTGGGCATGTCAGGGGAGTCTGATACATACACATGCACAGAGGGTAGCACACGCCAGCTGGATTCTGGCACTTACCTGGGCACTGAGGGTGATAATTATTGCCTTCCTGCCTGGGGTAAAATAGATGTCATGCGACTAACATAGTCCTGATCCTTTCACAAATAGGACAGAATTGCATCCTTTTAGTTAAAAAAAGGCAGATGAAACAAAGTCTAATTAGAACATTAATTTTCAACTTATCACTCTAAGTATTCATTTCACATGATCATCCTGAGACATAATTTGAGTTTTGCATGAGGCATAATCTTTTGATTGTTTTCATCCCTTTAAATAGTTGAATATTTCAAACAAAATAGATGCTTTTTTCCAGGGATGAGTATAGAATAGAAAAGCACATGTCTGTCTTTACACTACTGTCAGAAAGCCACACCGAGCACCGGATTGCACTTGATGGCTCATAGGAGCCTTTTGTCACTTTAAGCCTTTATTTAAGAAAATCTGGGTTTCTTCCATTGAATGAAATATGACCAATGGTGGAAGCGGCTCAGAGGCAGATGCACTGAGTCTCTTGGCAAGTTTGTCCTCATGATCTGGACTCTTTTTTTTTTTTTATTTAGGAAATTTCACATTCACAAGGTCTTGGTTTCTAAGACTTTAACTGTTCAGACAGGTTTCATTCCAACATGAAAATCGTATCCTTTAGCCCATGATAACAGAGTCAGAATCATTTCCCCAGCAATTAAGAGGAGAGGTTTCAGAAGCAGATGCACACTCAAAAGACAAAATTTTAAAATTGACTGAGAAGAAAAAAAAATCCGAGTCGAGTGCATGTCCCTTAGAACAACAGCCTTTCTTTCCCGCCCGCCTTGGTTTTTGCGGGGAGCACCCCTAGCTTTGGCATGCTTTCCACATGCTGTTCCGGTGAGTAAATTTCCACTCTTCTTGCCCAGCCTGATATCAGTAGCATCTATTGAACACACAATGGGAGAGGCGGGCAATCGGACTTCCTATTACAGCCCTCACGTGCATTAGACTCCCCCATGCACATGTCATAGCTCCCTGGTTCGTAGAGGAAAGCGTCCCAGTGCTGGGATAAAGCAAGAACCTGTGACTAGTCCCAAAGAATACAATAAAGAGGTGATGGGCATTTAGCAGAAACCACATAAATTGAATTCCTGCTTAGTGGGGGTGGTGGCAGGGTGACTTCAGATCTTTTATTTTGTTTTTGTTTTTTTTAACCATAATCCTCAGATGAGTCACACTCCCTAGTGATATCTTTCTTGAATGTTTTCTAAAAAAGGTTTTTAAAGGCAATTTGATACTGTGTGTCTGGGAGTTTTTCTGTCTGTCCTCACAGTATTCCTCAAAACACATCACATCATTCATGTGTGAGCCTGTTGAATGTTGCCTGATAGTTCTCCTTGTTAAGTAGGTGAATGAGGTTTCATTTAGATTTGTGCCTGGATTATGAGTCTTCAGCCCTCAGCCAGATTTTTGCCCAGACACAGGCCTTGCCCTGGTAGAAGCATGCAGGCTAACTGTTAAACTGGTTTTGTACCTCTAGCCCCACTGAGGGAAATGGCAGCAGGTTAAAAAGATTTTTCAGAAAAAGCATATGTCTAACTGCATGTCTTCTGTTCATGCTGTTTTACTTGCCATGCTAGGTTTTGTCTTCAGAATTGAATATGTATGAATCACAGAGCGAAGAGTATAAGTATGAGCTGGGAAAACTTAGCAATGAACTAATGAATTTAAAGAAGAAATACCTCGCTCAGAAACGTAAAGAGCACCTTCAGAAGTAAGAATCAGACCAGTGTTCTAATTTTGGTGTGCCTATTACCGGCGGATGGGAAGATATTTGGTGTAGAGTCACAGAGTTGCATATTTCATGGGATAAACTAAGTCACAGGGCGAACAATTAACATTGTACAGGTCACTCACTGGGTATGTATCAGAGCAAGATCAGTATTTTGGCTGATACTAAGGCCTCTCCATTGGACCCTAACAGGGATCCATTAATATCTGCTCACTGGTAGATCTAATGTGGACCATGGGAAAGTGTGATTTTTTCCCCCCCGTCACACTGTTTTCACAGTTTGGAAATGATCATGACATAACTGCATTTGCAAATGATGTTCACAGTCAGCCTTGTACAGCTTATTCACATTGAAAACCACAGCTAATTTTGCCAGTGGGTCTGGCATCTGGGCTTGGTAAAACTGTTCTTTCTATAGTACAGCTGTACCACTGTACTTACGAGCAGTTTGTGAATAATTTTCACCTATGATTTAGACAAACTATCTCTGTGTCTAGCGACTAACCTCAGTACCTGCTTTGGGGTATCCATGTGAGCTCTCATTCCTCTGGGAGACTAGAATGCAAGTGCCAGGTTAGCATTGTGCATTTCAGGACGCCTGCATGTCAAGGAGCAAGTCTTCTCTCCTTTGTTATCCTTATTTGCCTGGTCTGAGGGTGAGAGAGAGTGAGCCCACAGCAGTAGGTTTGAACCTTGGCTTGGCTGTGTGGCATTACCCAACTCCTCTAGTTCACTGCACTGTGGCTCACATGGTGGGTTGAAAGTCAAGTTTGCAATTTCTTCCACGCGGGCATTTCAGGGACACGGTGAAAGAGGGTTTGAATGCATCTGCCTAGGATCCATTAGTGGCAAACAGCTATTTAAAGAAACTGGATGCAAATTCACTTGCCAGTAAAAATTTTACCCTTATAAATGAGAATGGTCTCCTATTCTACATTTCAGTGGCAGTTCCTTGTTAGAATAAAATATGCGAAGAATTACAGCTAATTTAGGCAAGTCTGCCTTAATGTGTGGGTCTAGCAACTCTCTGATTCAGAATCACCGGCGAGACGTATTAAACAGCAGCCCCCAGTCCCCATTTCCAGATATTAGGATTCAGCAGGCTCTGGACAGGCCTCAGAAATCTGCAGTTTGATCACTCCCCAGGCAATTTCCGAGCATACTGAAGTTTGAGAACCACGGACATTACTGATGTGAATTAGATGAGCGGAGTGGAAACACTGCAGTTTTCTTTTAGGAAACTAAAAGGCGTGCTTATAAACTGTCCATATGGCTAGTTTCTACAGGAAGCAGGTGTCTAGATCAGTGACCTTCAAACTTTTGTATTGCGCAGCCTTCTCAGTAAAACATTTTTGAACTTGCAGCTTCCCAATATATATGTATGTCATTTTTAGAATAAATACTTTTTATTTTAGAATATTTTTTACCTCCAATATATTTTAATTTACAAATTACATACAAATAGTATTGTCACACTGTGAGTAATTATTAGCAAAGCGAGATTTTTAATTGTTAAGGAATATATATATATATATATATATATATATATATTCCATTATCTTCTTTTCAGTCCCCAGTGGGTCATGTCACTCACCTTCTGGATTTCATTTTGGAGGCCAGGGGTATGAATTACCCACCAACAAACTGCTAGTTTGGCTAAACTGTTGATTATCTTTCTAGAGCTGATTACCTCCTCTGGGTTGGCCCTGGGTTTGGCCTAGTCTCCCTTGACCTTATTGATCCCTGCTTCCAGAGTTTTTTGGACACAGAGAGCATGCTGAGTCCATAGAGGGCGTCCCTCTGTGAACTCAGCCCTTCCCAACTGCCCATCTGCCAGAACTTCAGGGCTCCAGCCATATGCCACCTGTAGCTATTTAAATGAAACATTTAGTTCCTCAGTTGCATTAGTTATATTTCCACTGCTCAGTCGCCACATGGGTCTAGTGGGCACTGCGTAGGCACAGAGGTTCTCCGTCAGCATGGAAGTCTTATCAGCGCTGCTCTAGCAGAATCTTTGCTTTTACCTGTCCTCCTCTTACCCTGACATGCTGGTTACTGGGAGCCACTCTGACCTGGTTGGAGTGTCACTGATGGTTCCATTTAGCTGGGGACCCGTAAACTGGAGGTAGACAGAGAGATGAGTTCCGAGGAGAACTGCAAAAAACTATGAAAGGGGCTGAAGGAAAATAAGCCGAGGCAAAAACAAAAGTGCTGAGGTGGTTTAGATCGGAAGGAGAACGGCTGAAGAGAATTATAAATACATGAAAAGGGGACTATAAAAAAGACATTATTCCCATTAGTCAGCTTAGGCCAAGTCGGAAGCCTTAAGCATAAGTTCCTTCAAAGAGGAAAAATGGGGTTATTTAAGGCCAGAGAGGGCGGGGGAGGGGAGAGGGGGAGAGAAGAGCTGCCTGCATGTAGCTACAGTCAGGAGGAAGGCAGATGCCAGAGTGCTGGAAGGAATCCGCTTTGCTGGGTCCACTCCATTTTGTTCTATTTAGGGAGGGATTTTTTTTTTTTATAATAATGAAATCAACTCTAAGAGATGGCTGGATTGATGAACCAATCCTCTACAGGTTCTTTCCAAATGGAATAATTTAGAATAATTTCTGTAGATGTTCTCCCCACACCTGCACTTTATAAAATAACTCAAATCATTTTTACCTTCTTTTATTTTTCCCCTCCAAGCACCCTCTTTGTCATGCTTCAGTCCCAACCTATACCCCTACCCATCTGCCCCCGACTCTCCTACTCTGTACCCCTCAGGATGGTCTAGAGTCTGAAGTACCAGTCAGATCTTTTTTGCAAAATGTGGGTTTATTCCCCTCAGTGAGTCATTCCTAGTTGTCAAATCTAATTGGTTTTGGCCTTAGTAGTTTGCTTAATTTTTATTTTAAAAAGAGATTCCGGAGTTAATTTTCATAGGACCTCTAATTACACAATAGGTAATTTGTGTGAATTTAAGGTACCTCTGTAGGAAACCTGAATATGTGTGCGTGTATGTGTGGTATGTGTATGTGTGCTATGGGTGTGTGTATTTAAAGGAACTTTATATAGAAGATACATTGTAGACTTTATGGTAGAACTCCCTTTATGTACTATCTTATTTATCTTTCCCGGCTTTTCTTGCATCTTAATCTCTTTAATAATAATTGCTGCTTGTGTAAAGTTATAGGATAACTGGCTTTTATAAATGTCCAAGTTTGATGAAGATACCTTTGTGCAGTAAGGATTTATGTTTGTACTGGTACTTTGAATATAAAAGTTGGTAAATGATGAATTAATCATTATCATTGAGCCAAGAGAAAGATTCTTCTGATCTGTGGAACTAAACCAGTGTTTTATAACACAGGAAGATGATTACAAATGAGAGGAGCCTTAAGTTCATAGTGCTTGAGTTATAATGAGGCCGTCTACCCATTTTGCCCACAGATTAAGACCAAATGTCTCAACATGTCAAGTCAGTTTTTCTTCCCATTGCTTCTGCTTATTTTGCTAGCCTCATCTCTCACCACTCTACCCTCACACCCTAGCTTCAGTGGGACTCAGCCTTTGCAGCTACCTGAACACACCATGTTTTCTTTTGCCTCAGGACCTCTGCACTTTCTGTTCACCCTGCCTAAATTCCACTCTCTCATCCCAACTTGTATTTCTGTTCTCAGCTTAAAGTCACTCCTCTAGGAAGGTGCTGGCTCA